CAGAAATTTCTGAAGAAGGGTCTAGGCCCGAAACATCAGCCTTCCTGCTCCTCTGATGCTGCTTGGCCTGCAGTGTTCATACAGCTCTACACCTTGATATCCTAGATAGGTTGGAACTGTTTTCACTGGAGCAAAGGAGGTTGAGAGGTGACCTGCCAGAAGTTTATAAAATAATGAGAGGTACAGATAGGGAAAAGACAACTATCATTAACTCTAAGATGGGGAATTTCAAGGCTAGGGGGCACATTTTTAAGGTGAGAGGAGAGAGATTTTAAAAAGACATAAGAAGAAAATGTTTTACACAGAGGGTGGTTCGCATGTGGAATGAACTTCCTGAGGAAGTGGTTGATGCAGGTACAATTACAATATTTAAAAGACATTGCAATGGATCCATGAATAGGAAAGGTTTGGAGGAATACGGACCAGGAGCAGGTAGGTGGGACTAGTTTAGTTTGGGATTATGTTCAGCATGGACTGGTTGGACTGAAGGGTTTGTTTCCATGCTGTTTGACTCTTTGACTATGACTCCATTATAATCCATCAAAAGTACTCCTTCATTTCTGCCATATAATAATTTAACATGGAGAATATCAGATATCCAGACACTATTTCAGCCTTACCTAGTGTCTGCACTGACTCTTCACTCTGCTGCACTTGTTGTGACATCATCCTACTGATACTCATCAAACTCTCCGTAATGCTGCTTGCAGTCTGTACCAAGCCTTCCTTCGTCATCTTTCTGAAACCCAAAATAACTTAGTCCATTTCAGCAGCAGTGATTTTTCTGCTGTCTTTCTTCATTATTTGTTTTCATTTCAATGAAAAATACAAAAGTATCCTCAACAGAAGTATCTTGGTTACACTTTCTAATGGAATATATAAATTTTCATAGAACAGAAAGCAACACTCACAAGATGCCTCTGCTTGTTTCAGAGAACATCCAAGAGGTACAAAATGTATCAAAAATCTTTACAAAAAAAATCACTGGCAATTTTTACTTTGATTTTATTCAAAATGTAAAAATAATTTTCCTTCAGCTATCACTTTTCAACACTTTAAATTTCAGGCTGTATGACAACTGGGGTTCTGCTTCAAGTATTTTCCAACATTCAGTGGTACTGGCTACTATCAATATGTAATGTCAGAAAGTATGTCTTTTCTTAAAAGTCAACAAATTGCCGATTTTAAAAAAAGACAAACATGTTAATACTTAAAAAGACTTAAAATCAGTAAAGAAGAAATTGCTGCTTAATTTCAGCTACTTATGAACATTAACGTGCAAAAGCAAAGTTGTGATATTATTGAATTACAATGGAAGGGGGAGAAAGAAAAATGAGTGCACAAAGTCACAGTTACTTTAAGTAAATTAAAACTAAACTTAAACTGAAACTTGTAAAACACAATGGGCCCTGCACTGTCAGAACCACAGTAGGACCATCTTTAAAACTGCATTATTTACAGTTTTAGATTCTGGATTCTTCTGCTTCTTCTCTAAAATACTTTAAAAACCAAAGTGGGAACCACACAATATTCAAAAGATGTATTCATCAATAGCCTGTGTTTATGATTCATGGAATGGGAGTTATATCACGGAACAGGGATGCCATGGGGATTACAGCAGTATGGTCACCCAAGCCATGTACTGCAGATGTGGTCTCCTGGAAAACTCCTCAAGCACTTTGAGGAAATAATTGAGATTCTGGGTGGTTAGCTGTGGTGTATCCAAACATCTTGTATCTGAACTCATAGAAACTCTATAGTGTGGAAGCTGGCCACTTGGCCCATCGAGTCCACACTGATCCACCAGAGACATTCCCACCCAGGCACTCCCCTCTACTCGATCCCTGTAACCCTGCATTTCCTATGGCCAATCCACCTAGCCTGCACAGCCCTGGATACTATGGGCAATTTAGCATGGCCAATCCACCTAACCTGCACATCTTTGGACAGTGGGAGGAAGCTGGAGCATCCACAGGAAACCCACGCAGACACAGGGAGAATGTGCAAACTCCACAGAGACAGTCACCCGAGGGCAGAATTGAACCTAGGTTCCTGGTGCTGTGAGGCAGCAGTGCTAACCACTGAGCCACCATGCCAGATAAAGATCGCATGATGCTGACTGATAATTCCTTACACAAACAAATGCAAAGAAATCTGAAGGTAAATCATGCAGAGTGTTGTAAGACAAAATAATAGCACGGATTTAAAAAAAAACACGCAACTTACCGTTGCCGAATTGAAGAATCACCACTATGCAGCAATTCATCTTTTTCATAATTGTCTATAGCAAGCTTGCAGGCTAGGTTTGCTTTTCGCCAAGCTGTTTGGTTGCTTTAAAGAAACACAGATCATCAGTATGTTGTGAGGCAATGCACCTTCTTCCCAAAGTAATATCTCTGGCTGATTTGAGATATGTCAAGCAAGATGGTCACCAGTTATAAACAGAGTGCATTATATACAAGGTGTGAGAATTAAATGCAGAAAGGGAAGAAGGTTCAGCTTTTTATTTCACTGCCCAACGTTTGAGAAAATTTGAGAGAGTAAGTATTTTAAATCTTTTGTCCAGCGTTTTAGTGCAAGTCAATGCGTAGGGGGAGAAAAAATCTTACAAGTAAAAGTGCAGATACAGGCATAAGAAATGGCAAAGCTGTCTACTGTCTGAGCTGCTGCATATGGAGCTTAGTGGACAGTGGTTCAGGGGCAGGGATCCAGTGTTAGGATCCTTGCTGGGATAAACAGAATAGGGAAGAGCAAACAAGACATCCTAAACAAAACAGAAATTGCTGTAAAAGCTCAGCAGGTCTGGCAGCATCTGTGAAGAGAAATCAGAATTAGCAGTTCAGGTCTGGTGACCCTTCCTCAGAACAGACCCGAAATGTTAACTCTGATTTCTCTTCACGAATGCTGCCAGATCTGCTGAGCTTTTTCAGCAATTTCTGTTTTTGTTTCTGATTTACAGCATCCGCAGTTCTTTTGGTTTTTAAACAAGACATCCTGTTTGGGCAGAATCAAGAGCTCAGAGGCAAATTAACAACTAGATCTAAAAGATTACAATTACTGGATTATAATAAGTCACGTACAAATTTGTACGTGGGTAATAATTAGGAAGGTGAACACATGGTTGAGAGAGAGATGTGGGAATGACGAATTTCATTTCATCAAACACTGGCAGCAACACTGGACAGAAAGGAACTCTATAAATGAAAGAGACTTCAATGAAAAAATTAAGTAGTGTAAACTAATCACAGCAGGCAAGAAATAAGAAATGTCCAACAGCAACACTGGAGCTAAAGGACAGACTAGGGTGTAGTAGAAAGAACAGATCTAACAAATTGCAATTTCTAAATTCAACTTGGATTGTAAATCATTAGTCATTACTGAGGAATGGCTCAGATGGTCAGCAGTGATAACTAAATATAACAGGTTGTAAAGTCTATTAAGGTTTTCCAGGAAGGATGAACTAGAGAAGCAGTTGGCATAAGATTAATTAGTGAACAGAGATTTGAATTTGGACATGATATTTTTGTTTGGTAGCATTTGAAAAAGCATTTCATCAGATTGGATTAAGATGTCGACAGTGCTGAAAGATATAGAAGTAGACTGCAAACACAGACTACTCATAAGATATTTGTATATGGAACAAACAGTAAAAGTGACAGCAGCTAATAGTGAGTCAAAACTATGTGAAATTTGAAGAGGGGCCTGACAAGGTTGTTCATTGCCAGTCCTCTTAAATGATTATGCAGAAGCCATGATCAAAGAGGGCTCTGAAGACACAATCTGGTGTTAAGACGGGGTGAGTTAGAAGATAATTATAACAACAATTATGGAAAGGTGGGGACCAACTCACTAGGTAGCTTTGAAATGTGGAATATGGAACAAGCTGCAAAGGATCTGCTGAAGAGCTGAGGCGAATGAATGAACAAAGAAAATTGTTGAACATAATTAGGAAAAGGCAGAGAAACTGGTAGGGCACGTTTTAGAAGGAAAAATTAGTAAGAGATGTAATGAAGGGTACACTTTAAGGAAAGAGAGGAGCAGGAATGAAGAGAATAGCAATGTTCGATGCCTTGAAAATTGAAGGAAATTATTGGCAAACTAAAAGATAGCATAAGACAGAGAACATGGAACATAGTGGTTAGCACTGCTGCCTCACAGTGCCAGGGATCCAAGTTCAAGTCCACCCTTGGGTGACTGTGTGGAGTTTGCACATTCTCCCCACGTCTGTGCTTCCTCTGGGTGCTCTGATTTCCTCCCACAGTCCAAAGGTGTGCGGACTAGGTGGATTGGCCACGTTAAATTGCCCATACTGTCCAGAGTTGTGCAGGCTAGGTGCATTAGCCATGGGAAATGGATGGGTCTGGGTCGGTCAGAGGGTCACTGTGGACTCAATGGGCTGATTGGCTTGCTTTCACACTGTAGGAATTCTATGTTTATGAACCAAAGGTCTACCTTTGGGCAGAATAGATATGTTGCTAATAATCTTCAGTAAAGACAGGAAAAAGTGTACGCCTTAGGAGTAAGCGAACATTATAATGGGTTAAATCGGGAAGAAAAAGGATTTAAGTGGTATTTATGTATAGGACCATGAGAACAGCTTTTAAATTTGAGATTTTCTTTTGTTAACTAATGGTGTTAAGGAATATGAGGACAAAGGAGGCCATATGCAGTTGGGTTACAAGTCAGCTACGACCTCATTGAATGGCAAATCAGGATCAAAAGTCTAAATTGTCTTCATCTTTTTCCTAAGTGTGCAAGTCTGCTTTTCCAAATAGATGATGATATGAAAAATGTTCTAGTAAAAAGTAATCAAAGTTGTTGATATCTGATGAACTTTTTTTCATTATTAATTGTTTACAGAATGTTGGCATCACTGGTTAGGATACCATTTATTGCCCATTAATTGCTATGTATTAATGCTCCTAACACAGTTGGTAACCCACTTAGGGTTACGTTCTTCCTAACTTTTTATGCATCAGCACTTTTTTCCTCTGCTCCAGTTCAGGCAGGTACTCTCTCTCTCTCTCATTCATCTTAGGTGAAGGTGATTTCTTTTGTCTCTTTCCCTTAATTCAGGATTCCATTCTTCTTTTGGTCACTTCAAGCTGCAGTTCTTTCTCTCCTCTCCCTTAATTCACACACAAAGTTTTCTTCCTGCTTGTCCCCAGTTTTACATTAGTACTTGCTCCAATTTTATTTCGATAAATTATACCAACAGCAAGGTTTGAGAGCTCCCCTCTCCTTGGCATCATCAACTGTTACTACTCCAAATAACCGAACATCATTACCCATAACAGGAAGGAATTCTTGCACACATTTAACATCGTTCAGTCACAACTGAGATGCATTTGGAGTACAAACTGTCAGAGCACAGACAGGTGAGTAGTCTGGTCTGGTCTGGTGTCTAGAAAACTGGAATCAGGCACTGATTAGAACAGAAAGGAGTGTAAGGCAGTAGTGCTGTACATCTTTGGGCTAGATGTCAAATCTCATGATCTAGATCTAACTCTCAAGCCATAATTTGGACATCCTTGATGTAGGCTTTTAAAACCCAGTGCAATCTTTACATATTAGTTACTAATGATTGACTGACTTTGTATGTTCCAAAATATACTAGATTTCATCCCCATTCTTGGTATACATGTTATTTTTGTGGATTTGTAACAGATACTAATGAACGGAATAATTTTATTTTGCTTAGTCTCAAATCTTTATTGTAATATAAAACGTTTTAATGGATTATTAAGATTTTGCAACACATATCTCGAGGAAGATGTATTTAGTTATTTAAATGATAGAAATAATTTGTTCATGAGCATGTCTGTTGGGCAGCCTTTCATTAAAAAAAAACTCATAACTGGTGCCACCAAGTATCACTAAGATTGATATTATACAACAGCCACAAATCAGAACTGTCAGTTACCTGTGTTTTAATTGGGTTAATTCAATTCTTTAAAGAAAATGAACTTACATTCCAAAGTCAGGTTTTGCTTGCTGCAAGCAAGAACATATTTTTTAAACTATTTTGCACAAAAACAGACACACCTAAAGCAATTTGGAACCTACATTTTGTCACAATCTCCAGAGACTGATGTCTTTTAAAAGTGGATCAAGCTTCTAGTTTCCAGCTAAAAGAATGATGTAACAAGATTTCAAGTTTTAAAACGTTTACTTTAACAAATGATTAAAAAGCATTATTGACTAAATACTATTTTATTTTTATAGGCAACTTATTTCTAGCAAAACATCCCACAGTTGCTCCCAGCTTTAAATGGATTCCCACATTCCCAGTTTTCCCAAGTAGGAATTTCAAGTGATTATCTCCAGCTTTCATAGATTATTTAAATCAACTACCAGCAATAAAGCCTGTTCTGATCATTCTTTTCCCTCGTTATGCCAGAATCTTTCAGAATTCTTCGAAAGTTGCAGGATGAACCTCTTTGATTAGAAACCATCACCCTCCTGCTGTAGTTTGCTAAGTCAGGCAGTTTTTCACTTCCCTGACCACGAGAAAAACTGTTGTCTGGGATTCATTCATCTGTAAGGAAGCTTTGTAACCTCATCTCAAAAATAGCTCCTGTTGCCCTGTTTCCCCATAGTAATGTGAAACATGTTAGTCTTGTATCCAAGTATAAATGCTAATTAGTTATCCTCAAGAGCCTAAATCTCTTTCATCTCAGAAGTAAATGGTCAATTCATAGTACAACTATTTACAACCAAGTGCCTCAACATTTTTCTGGGACTTTGGGAGGCTCGAACCCTACTCATTGTAAACACAGAGGCAGCTACTATTGCCTTCAATACCTTGCATTTTAACAACCAAAATAATCTCAGCTTTCCACTGATTTCTGACAATCAAACCACCCAGACTTATTATTTGGCAGACCTTAAAACAGGTCACATGACCCCCTTTATTGAAAGATTTATTGATTTATTGTCACATTACCGAAAACAGTGAAAAGCTTTGTTTACGAGCAGTACAGGCAGATCACAGCAAGCAAAGGATGTACAGCTCAAAAAGACTTACAGGCATACAGGTCACATTGCAGGTTACATTACTTGACACCAGAGTGCATTCAACAGTCTGATAACAATCGGAAAAAAAGCTGTTCCTGAACCTGCTCGTGCATGTGTTCAGGCTTCTGTATCTTCTGCCTGACAGAGAGGTTGTAGGAGGTCATTACCAGAATGCGATGGGTCTCCAATGATGTTGGCCACCTTTCCACAGCAACGAGCCATGTCCACGGATGGAAGGTTGGCTTCCATGATGGTCTGGGCTATGCATACCACCTTCTGTAGTTTCCTACCGTCCTGGACAGAAGCAGTTGCCATACCAGACCATTACACTCCCAGACAGTATGCTTTCAATGGTGCATCTTTAGAAGTTGGTGAGGGACCTTATGGACATGCCAAATTTTCTGAGCCACCTGAGGAAGAAGAGGTGCTGTCATGCCTTCCTGACTGTCACATTTATGTGGGAAGTCCAAACTGATCATCGGTTATCGCCTCTTCGAGGAACTTGATGCTCTTCACTCTCTCAACCACAGTTCTGTTGATGTGGTTGGGGGCTTGTTCTCCTCCTTTCTCTCTGAAGTTGATGATCAGTTCTTTAGTTTTGCCGACATTGAGAGACAGATTGTTTTTATTGCACCATGTCACCAAGCCCTCTATCTCCCTTCTGTATTTTGACTCGTCATTGTTAGATATCCTTCCCACTACGGTGGTGTCGTCAGCTAACTTGTAGATGGTGTTCGTTCAGAATGTGGCAACACAGTCGTGGGTGTACAGGAAGTACAATGGGGGCTGAGGACATACCCTTGGGGGCGGGCGGGCGGGGCCTTCAGTGTTGAGTGTTATTGTGGAGGAGGTGCAGTTACCTATCCTCACTAATTGCGGCCTATGGGTCAGAAGGCTGAGGATCCAATTGCGGAGGGCAGACCTGAGACCAAGGTCATGCAGTTTTAAGATCAGTTCAGAAGGGGTAATAGTGTTGAAGACGGAGCTGTAGTCAATGAGCAGGAGTCTGACGTAGGTGTCTTTGTTGTCCAGTTATTCCACGGATACGGCATTCTGTATGTATCTGTTGTGTCCGTAGGCAAACCGTAGAGAATCAAGGCAGTTTGGGAGACTGGAGTTGATGTGGGCCATGACCAGCCTCTCAAAGCACTTCATGATTATTGAAGTCAGAGCTATTAGGCAGTAGTCATTAAGGCACATTGCATATGTTTTATTGGGTACAGGGATAATGGTGGTGTTCTTGAAGCAGGTGGAGCCTTCAACTTGTAGGAGGAAGAGGTTGAAGATGTCGGTGAATACCTCTGTCAGTTGGTCCGCACAGGATCTGAGTGCTCAGCCGGGGACACAGTCCGGGCCCGTCACTTTTCTTGGGTTGACTCCCAGGAAGACTGATCTGACTTCTGAAGTGGTGCCAGAGGGAATAAATGTGTCTGGAGCTGTTGAGGCAGGTGTCGCCACGCTGGTGGTAGTCTGCTCAAACCGAGCATAGAAAGCATTGAACGTATCAGGGAGGGATGGGTCTTTGTCCGCCATCTTACACTGTTTCATTTTGTATCCCGTGATGTCATTTAGGCTTTACCATAGACAGCGGGAGTCTGTTTGGTAGGTTTGGGCCTCTAACTTTGTCCGGTACTGCCTCCTGGCTTCTCTGATGGCTTTGCGGAGATCGTAAATGGAGTTTCTGTATTGATCCGGGTCACCCAAACTGAATGCTGCACGTCTGGTCTTCAGTAGGGAATGGATTTCCTGGTTAATCCAAGGTTTACGGTTGGGAAACACTCAGATTGACTTCTTTGGTGCACAGTCCTCCAATAATTTGCTAAGTCCACTGAGTGCATGCAGTCTTGGAGATGGTCTTCTGCTGCCTCAGACCAGCACTGTACTTCTTTTCTTGAGGGATTCTCTCATTTCAGCTTCTGCTTGTAAGCTGGGCAGATCATTTACTCTTAACTTAAAATATATAATCCCAAAACATCATAATTTTATAAAGCTCAGATTGTAACAATGTTTCTCCCAAACAGCAACATTTTTAAAAGGAATTTTATTGAGGGACTTTCTGAAATCTGGGAATGGCAGGTATTAATAATAAAAGAAGAATTCCTTTATTAAAAGTGCCGTACTAAATAAAAATCCATCGTTAATGCTTTATATTAACTATATGATCACAGATAGGTCATGGTCTATCATAGGATACCTCACACAGTGGAGTGGGACTGAGGGAGTATTGAGTGCAGATGAGAGGTATTGGCTACTTAAGAATTTTCCCGAACATGTATCACTGGTTTCTCCTTTCTTTGTGCTACTTGCTTAAAAATTATACTCCAGCCATAACTTGGGTGTACTTGTATCTAAAAAAAAGGTAGGCCAGTGTAGAGTTATGTAATACAACACACAAAAGAACTGCATTATGGCAGGCAGAACAACAACAGCAATTCAGGAACACACATCTAGCTTTATGCTTCACATCTGTTTCAGGCTTGTCAAAGTGCCCACCTTTATTTGCTGATCTTTAGAAGCAATTTATGTCAAAATCTAGGTAGCCTAATGTCAAAATAGGATTCATTTTGGAAGCAATCAAGCATTCTTTCATCATTATAAAGGGAGTGCTACTTCATAAAAAAGTTATTTAGTATGGAACATTTTGTGAATTGCATTGTAATTGATTTTTTTTTATTTATGTTTAAAAGCATGTGCATGAACTTGTCAGGGATCAATTATACTAAATTATACCTGCTTCTGGACTTGTTTGCTTTATAGTTTCTATACAATAGTTTCAAATGTTACTTGACATGGATTGTCATTGGGATTGAAAAGGTTTTTGTGGATTTAAATTGTTGTAAATTTTGAAACTAAAATTATTCCAAGGTTTTCAGACTTCCCAAAAATATCATTTACCTTAACATTTGCTTGCGATGATTCTCTACTTCAGCCAGCAGAGTTTGTTTATCAGATTCTTTGTCTTGTTCCTTTGCCATCTGTTCTAAGTCCTTCAAAAGTTTGAAGAAATTATGTTAGCATTCTTATACGAGAGACCCCACTTAAAAGCACAACGAGTCATCAGAAGCCAGAACATCCAACTCTATATTGCTAAAATGCAATAATTTCCTCTATAACTCTTTCCTCTACTATCCATTTTACTGAAACTAAATGGGGAAGTCCAATACCAAACCCAATGCCTTGATAAGAGATTAACTGAACCTCTGTCATAATTTGTTAGCATTTTTGTATGGTCATATTTTATTCAGAGAGATACTGAAAGCACTTCTTTTTAAAAGATGATGCAGTCTCAACACAGCAAGCAATCTACTTTCCCGTCACTATCTCAGAGACTCAGAGCCTTTTCTGTCTCTTTGAAATGTCCTTCAAGGAATTGCTTGACGATATTTATAATATTAAACAATAAAGATTTATAAAGTCATTTTTTTCATTGTCTCTTCGTAGATATTTTTCTCAGTGAAGATACTCCATTGAACTCCACTCCAAGCACTTTGTGAAAACAGAGATTTTAGGAGAATTCCAGAAGCCTGTTCCTCCTATTTTTGAGATTTGTCCCTAATCAACAAGGCTTAAAAAGTAATGGTCTTTGAACCACTAGGCAATGAAGAATCAATGTAAAATGAGTATCGTAAGGTTTCCTTCATTTAGCAAAAGGGGTTCAGAGAATCTTCACTCAAGAAAGAAAATAGGATGGACAGAGTCTACATCAGAATAGCCTGCATGTGATAAATGGAAGGAATAAGCTTCATGACTCTCAAATCTTTTGTTAGTCTTTCCATTAATTATCAAAACCTACTAGGCTACCATCAAGGATGAGGAATTATCTCCATACAAAAATGGTGCTTGTATAATTGCATTACAATAGCAATGTTAGACAGACTGAAAGAAAATGAGATATTCTCGCAAAAAGAATGCAGGAAATAAGCAGCGTCCTCTTAAACAAGAAGTTTTCTTAGCAGTTTAAGATCAGATCAAACATATCCACACGACAACTGCACCGCTACTGCACCAGCCTCATTTTCCTGTATTGATTGTAAAATAAAAGTTTGTGCTTCAAACCAAATGGTGCCTTACCTAGTACTAACTTTTTTCATCCTCAGAGAGATTGAAGTTTCAATCCATTTCAAAGGCAATGTTACTGGCACACTCCTGGGTCCTCTTACTGCACAAATACATACAGAAAAGTGGGTGCCAATTTCCATAAAAGGGAGGCACACAGGACACTGAAGAAAGCAAATGACACTGCTGAACCCAAAGAGATATTTATAGAGTACTCAAACATTATCTCTTTCCACTTTCAAAAATGTCATCAATGTCTCTGCCTTCAATTCTGCGCCTCAAACTCAACTATTCATGCTCATGCTCTTTATGGACTTTTGGGTAAGTATCCAAGGTGGTTACCATGCTAAAGGTACATTCCAAACTCAAATTGCTGCTGATCTTACAGACATCAGGAATAGAATCAGGTTTAAGTTACATGTTCCTGACAGTTGAACTGTCTGCCAATACTTCCTAAAGAAGCTCATTTAGGGATGGCCACATGGATGAGGTCCTAGGAAGTTGCAGACAATACTTTCAAAGAGACTGAAAGCTATTCGCAGGTAGAAATCTAAGGAAACAAGTAGAAATCGGAGGAAAAAAATTAGAAAAAGAATGGACCACCAAGCCAAGAATGTTGTAGTTATCATTTATAGCTGTTAGGATTGATGCAGGAATAGACTATTGGTGATATATATCAGAAAGGCTAATTGTCATCTACATTTGGAGCTATAAAGATTCCAAACTGGCAGAGGTACAGGATCTTACCTAAAAGTTCAATACGAATACACCTCTGCTTTGAACTAAAAGTAGCCAACAAATGTTTAGCAATGGTGGTGAGCACAGTGGTTCAGTTTGATTATCTGCCCGTTTTGAAAGGTGATATATTCATATTTCTTAAATAAAAACAGAGATTGCTGGCAAAACTCAGCAGGTTTGTCAGTTCCTGTAGCAAGAAAGGAGAGTTACTATTAAGTCCAGTGACTCTTCAGATTCTGACAAAAACTCACCAGATTCAAAATGTTAACTCTGATTTTACCCCACAGATGCTGCCTGACCTGGTGAGTTTTGCCAGCAATTTCTGTTTTTGTTTCAGATCTCCAGCATTTGCAGTTCTTTGTTTTATATTATTAACATCCTTTGTTGAACATTTTTTTTTAGTGAACCTATGTATTCGAAAGCCATTCAAGTCCTCACTCACCTGTATTCGAAGTCGGAGTTGCTGAAACATTACTTTCACTTTAGCATTTAATTCTGTCAGTATGCTCAAGGGTCCAGTACTGTCTCTGATATCCTGAAGGGAAATGAACAGGCATTCACTGTTCAGATCTTCTAACTGTTTTACTAGTTTTAACATTGCACAGATGTATGAGGGATTCTTTACCACTGATGGATCAAAATCAAGTCATAGTTGTTCTACAATCTAAAGAGAAGTAATTATGTTGAAAGTATATGGAAAATAAATCAAAACTAATATAAAATACTGGAAATTCAAAGCAGTTTGGTCAGCATCTGTTCAGAAGGATGGTTGACTCTTCAGATGTGATAACAGAAACCTATAATTTAACAAATGCAATATATGATTAATCTGCTTTATCATTCAAAATTACTAAAGCTTTTAGAGTCAAGTTACAATTTAACAAGGGAATGAAGAACTTTCAACTATCTGTAGTCAATTTAGCAATAAAGCTTGAATTATGCTAATACTAAAAATAACTTTAGTCAAATTAATTGGGAAGGAAAATCTGAATGCCAAGAAACATTAGTTGGTTTAAAGCCAACACAAAAATATAAGATGATTCACTACTGCTTTTTAAAATTATTTTGACTTCGATTTAAGTGCGGCACATTAACTTATGTAAACAAATGGGCAGGACAGAGTTTGCATGCTGTCATGAGTATACCACTGGGAGTTTCAAGCGGCATTGTACAGCCATTTTTCACCATTGCTTTTATCATTTAGGACACAACAGCATAAGAACATGTGTGGGATATTCGTAACCACAAACGTGTTCAGTTAGATTACAGCTAATATCTCAACTTCAACTCCTTACCTACCGCTGATTCTTACTGTTTACCTAACGGGGAAAAAAAAAGTATACCCAAGTCTTGAGATTTTCATTTGACAGAGCAGCATTTAGGGTAAGGAACTACACATTTACACTACCTTCTTAATGAAAAACGATTCCTGACTTCACGCTTGCATGGTCTAACTCTAATTTTAAAAACCATTGCCTTTATGTTTTACGATTCCCCACCACCGTAATTAGCTTCTAATCTATCAAATTATTTCACTAGTTTACACATCCCAACCCACCAGTCTTCAAACCTCATGGGATCATGTCTTGTTTATGAAATCTATCTTTATAACTTAACCCTTTAAGCTCTGCTATAATTCAGGTGAATTTGCAACATAGCACATTTTTCTGGGTAAGCATATCCTTACTGAGGTATAATACAGGAACCAAATACTGGCTGCAGTACCTCAGTTGGGATTTGTCCAATACTCCATACATTGAAACATCAGTTCATCATTTTTGTACTCCAGTGCCCCTTGACATTGAGGTGCACATTCCATTAACTGATTTGTATACATGCACACCAAAACCTTTTGTTTCTCCACAGAGAATGGCAACAGAAAGGATTAATATGTAAATTCCAGAATTTCTTTCAAGTCATTGCCCCGAGAGAACTAAAGGTTTTATCACTTCCCTCAGTATACCAGAGGTGACATCTCAGGGCAGACAATGCATTTTAGGTGTGAAGCCTTGTTTAGAATCTGACTGTGTATCAACTTGGAGTCTGACTCCTTCCTAACTAATTAAAGACTTAACAGCCATCTTAGGTTTGATCAATGCATTCGCATCAGTTCCATGATCTTTGATCCGTCACTTATAAATGTTGATTTCCATCAGTAGCAAGAAAGTCCTCAAGTCAGTCAGAGGGATGACAGGTGTAGATCTGTATTTCTATCTGCATCTATAATCAAACTTGCATTTTTTTCTCCAGAAATTGCATAGTTTAAGTAACCTGCTTCTATCCAACACAGAAATGAGCTTCTCAGTTTCACCAGTAAAATGCAAGTGCTGTTCATTTTTGATGAAACTGAGAAAATGCACATTGCATTCAGAAATTCCTACATATCTTGTTAAAGAAAAACCTCCTAATAAATCTAAAAAGTGAACACTTTAAAAACATAAAATCGCCACTTGTGAAGATCAGCTGCTGCATGAACTGACACATACAGATAATCACTTGCAAATTTTAAATATAACTTAGGGCATTTCCATTACTTATGGATGGAGCAGGTTATTCTTTATTATTCCTTCATCTCGAACAGCCTGAAGCACCACTAATGGCAGCATCTATTTTTTCTCCAATCATAGCAGGATTTTCACCTTGAGCAGTTTACGCAAGAGCCCAATAAGTGCTGATCACACACTGCATTATGTTAAATTTTGGTTTAATCAAATGATTAAACAATGTTGACATGGGCCTATAAAACCAAGGCAACATGGAAGTTCTGGGAACAAATCATGATTTAAAATCATCTGTACAAAAATGCAGAACATAAAGATGCCATGACAAAGTAAATGTTACTCTGACTCTGACTCTGATTTACATAATTTCATTATCATCACCAAAAACCAGTTATTCTACCTAGAGTGATTCAGAAGCTGGAATCCAAAATTACCCTCAATTTAAGTGGATGAAATGTGCATTTGTCTACACAATCAAGAGAGTGTGGTGCAGTGGTCAGCTGGTGGAATTTAATACAAGTGATAAAATTGAAAGCTGACCTCAGCGTTGCAGTGAAATTATCAACTGTTGTAAAAGCTCATCTGGTTCACCATACCTGGCCTAGTCTGTATGTGACTCCGGCCTCAGCGATACGAACGCGTCTTAAATGCCCTCTGAAACGGCCCTATCAGCTACCCAGTTCAAAAGCAATTAAGGATGAGTAACAAATGCTGGTTTTGACTGTGACACCGACATCTCATGAAAAAAAAACCAAAAGCACATACTTATTGTTCACAATTACCAAACCTTTAATGAGGTAGCTGCAAAAAAACACAGATCTACACAGTTTACAGGTTGAATCCATACTCTGGGTCCCACGGATGAACACGCTCTGTCGGTACATGCACACAGTTCTGTTCCTGTGCCACTTCAGTACAGATCATTCTAAATTAACTGTTATTCTTCGGTACTAAGATAACGCGTGAATCATTGGCAGCTTTACCTGGACCAGCGCTTTTATTTCCAGATCATATTTGATGATTTCTTGCGCGCAGATTCTGACAAGAACATCCGGAGCCACCGCCATCTTTCCCCAGCGGCTACGGAGGCCCAGAGCCGCTTGGACGAAACGCGCTTTTCCCAAAACAGATCAGCAGCCAAAAGGCAACATCTCACTGCAGCTGCAATGACTGAAATGTTTTGAGAATATAAAACGGTGTTTTTTTTTAATGGGGTGCACTCATCCTGGTACTTAGCAAGTAAAGGTTAGCATCTCCTCAATATGCAATAGACTTGGGGCTTACAGACGAAGGCCCATAGACCTTTGGAAGACCAGTCAAAATATCTTAGTGAGTTTTCATGGAAGTGTTTTAAGAGTAAGATCTGGCTGGATTGTGTGTGGGTAATGTCAGTCAGAGACCAGGATAAATACAGCTTAATAAATAAATCTGATTTTACTCCATCTGGCAGACACCCAAGATTGCCTCCTACTGTTCAAAATTATTTGTTTTGGATAAAATCCCTATGATGAATGAACTTGCAAGTGTTAAAAAAAAGTCTATTGTGTCTTGGAATGGTGCACTGTTGTTAAAAGTTCTAGAAAATTGTCAAACTAGCATCAGAATGTCCTTTGGACATTGTTTTACCACACCAAGTGAATCAAATTTGGACTTTTGTTACTATGAGATTTTCACATATGACCATTCCTGGTACCTTATGGTATTTGCCACCTCCACCAGTGTGTGATACTGGATAAGGACGCCTTGAGGTAGTGGTTTGGCCAACTCTCCTCTGTCTTTGTTTGTCTTGGATATATCTGGTGATTAGTGGTCAAGGATACACCACTGTGGAGTATCAATAGAAGAAGCACTGTTCTTGGATATCAAGAAGGTTTACTGCATGACAGAAATGAGGCAACTGCACTTGCTCAGACATAATTATTAGGATCTTAGGGAGCTGGTACAGGTACATCTGGTCCCTCTGAAAGCAAAAGTAGAAGCCCTTGTGTCAACTGCATGTGACCGTTGTTGAATGGTTGGAAAGAATGTAGCATGAACAGGAATTAACCCCTTCAGAACCATTATCTTATACAATATTGCCCCTTAACACTCATAGTTAACCCTTCACACAATTATGTTGTTATGACCAAAATTGGAATCATGCACTGTCTCTATTTCTCTCTCTCTCTCTCTCTCTTTACTCCCACTACTTGCATAGGTCACAACATAAATGTTGTAGCTAGTGTCTGATATAACAAACATATGTTTTCTCAAATCAGGACCTCTGTGCTTCAGGAGGCAGTCACATCCCTTAGATTAATTAGAATTAGAATCCGTACAGTGTGGAAACAGGCCCTTCGGCCCAACAAGTCCACACCGAACCTCAGAGCATCCCACCCACATCCATCCCCCTATGACCCACCTAATATACACCCTCTACCTCCCTGAACACTACAGGCAATTTAGCATGGCCAATCCACCTAACCTGCACATCTTTCGACTGTGGGAGGAAACCAGAGCACCCGGAGGAAACCCACACAGACATGGGGAGAATGTGCAAACTCCACACAGACAGTCGCCTGAGGCTGGAATTGAACCCAGGTCCCTGGTGCTATGAGGCAGCAGTGCTAACCACTGTGCCACCGTGTCGCCCAAATGTGTGTCAAATTTGGTCCATAGTCAAGGAAGAAGGGTGTGACTGAATGAATCAGATATGGAGATCCAGAATTTAGCTCTGAGAGTTTTCTAGCTTTGTTCCTTAGGTGGACAATGGGAGAGGTGTATGGACTTGCTAAGCTTTCGACAAGATCCTTCTCTAAAGGCTTCTGCTGGAAGTTTCGGACTTCCTGTCAGTCATGGGATGGGTTCCAGTGGTAAGGAATCTTTACTGGACTGTCATCTTCAGTTACAGTACTCAATGTCATCATCACCTTTAATGAAAGTTGTCCCATACACAGTGACAGTAGAAACAAACTGTCTCCTCTGGGTCTCCTCCAACTCGCCAATGTCCATCTTTGAAATGAGCTGAGAGACATCTGTTCCAATTAGTTCACTGTCTTTGATAGTTACAGGTTTAAGGTCACTGTGTTTCTATTCGCTGAAGTTGGCAATATGCATGGGTAGACTACCCTTTTCTCCCACAGTAAGGCTCCCAGTGTTATATCAAGTGAGAGTTCTACTCCATGTGACTCTTTATGCTCTAGCAAGGCCCAAAGTTGACAAGTTGAAGATGCTGGCATGAAAGTTCAAGAACAGTCACTGCACGGAAGGGTAAAAGAATGATCCCCTGCTGCACAAACATAGAACATAGAACATAGAACATTACAGCGCAGTACAGGCCCTTTGGCCCTCGATGTTGCGCCGACCTGTGAAACCAATCTGAAGCCCATGTAACCTAAACTATTCTATTATCATCCATATATTTATCCAATGACCATTTAAATGCCCTTAAAGTTGGCGAGTCTACTACTTTTGCAGGCAGGGCATTCCACGCCCTTACTACTCTCTGAGTAAAGAACATACCTCTGACATCTGTCCTATATCTATCACCCCTCAATTTAAAGCTGTGTCCCCTCGTGCTAGCCATCACCATCCGAGGAAAAAGGCTCCCACTGTCCACCCTATCTAATCCTCTGATCATCTTGTATGTCTCTATTAAGTCACCTCTTAACCTTCTTCACTCTAACAAAAACAGACTCAAGTCCCTCAGCCTTTCCTCATAAGACCTTCCCTCCATACCAGGCAACATCCTGGTAAATCTCCTCTGCACCCTTTCCAATGCTTCCACATCCTTCCTATAATGCGGCTACCAGAACTGTACGCAATACTCCAAGTGCGGCCGCACCAGAGTTTTGTACAGCTGCAACATGACCTCATGGCTCCGAAACTCAATCCCTCTACCAATAAAACCTAACACACCGTATGCCTTCTTAACAATGCTATCAACCTGGGTGGCAACTTTCAGTGATCTATGCACATGGACACCGAGATCTCTCTGTTCATCCACACTACCAAGAATCTTACCATTAGCCCAGTACTCTGTATTCCTGTTACTCCTTCCAAAGTGAATCACCTCACACTTTTCCGCATTAAACTCCATTTGCCACCTCTCAGCCCAGCTCTGCAGCTTATCTATGTCCCTCTGTAACCTGCAACATCCTTCCGCACTATCCACAACTCCACCGACTTTGGTGTCATCTGCAAATTTACTAACCCATCCTTCTACGCCCTCATCCAGGTCATTTATAAAAATGACAAACAGCAGTGGCCCCAAAACAGATCCTTGAGGTACACCACTAGTAACTGAACTCCAGGATGAACATTTCCCATCAACCACCACCCTCTGTCTTCTTACAGCTAGCCAATTTCTGATCCAAACCGTTAAATCACCCTCAATCCCATGCCTCCGTATTTTCTACAATAGCCTACCATGGGGAACCTTATCAAACGCTTTACTGAAATCCATATACACCACATCAGCCGCTTTACCCTCATCCATCTGTTTGGTCACCTTCTCAAAGAACTCAATAAGGTTTGTGAGGCACGACCTACCCTTCACAAAACCGTGTTGACTATCCCTAATCAAATTATTCCTTTCTAGATGATTATAAATCCTATCTCTTATAATCCTTTCCAAAACTTTACTCACGACCAAAGTAAGGCTCACTGGTCTATAATTACCAGGGTTGTCTCTACTCCCCTTCTTGAACAAGGGGACAACATTTGCTAGTCTCCAGTCTTCTAGCACTATTCCTGTAGACAATGACGACATAAAGATCAAAGCCAAAGGCTCTGCAATCTCCTCTCTAGCTTCCCAGAGAATCCTAGGATAAATCCCATCTGGCCCAGGGGACTTATCTATTTTCACACCTTCCAGAATTGTTAACACCTCCACCTTATGAACCTCAAACCCATCTAGTTTAATAGCCTGTATCTCAGTATTCTCCTTGGCAACATTGTCTTTTTCCTGTGTGAATACTGACGAAAAATATTCATTTAGCGCCTCTCCTATCTCTTCAGACTCCACGCACAACTTCCCACTACTGTCTTTGACCGGCCCTAATCTTACTCTAGTCATTCTTTTATTCATGACATACCTATAGAAAGCTTACCTATAGAAACCTTGATCCTACCTGCTAAAGACTTCTCATGTCCCCTCCTGGCTCTTCTTAGCTCTCTCTTTAGGTCCTTCCTGGCTAATTTGTAACTCTCAAGCGCCCTAACTGAGCCTTCACGCCTCATCTCTACATAAGCCTCCTTCTTCCTCTTGACAAGAGATTCAACTTCTTTAGTAAACCACGGTTCCCTCGCTCGACCACTTCCTCCCTGCCTGACAGGTACATACTTCTCAAGGACACGCAGTAGCTGTTCCTTGAACAAGCTCCACATTTCAATTGCGCCCAGCCCCTGCAGTTTCCTTCTCCATCCTATGCATCCTAAATCTTGCCTAATTGCCTCATAATTGCCTTTCCCACAGCTATAACTCTTGCCCTGCGGTATATACCTATCCCTTTCCATCGCTAAAGTAAATGTCACTATCACCAAAGTGCTCACCTACCTCCAAATCTAACACCTGGCCTGGTTCATTACTCAGTACCAACTCCAATGTAGCCTCACCTCTTGTTGGTCTATCTACATACTGTGTCAGGAAACCCTCCTGCACACATTGGCCAAAAACTGACCCATCTAAAGTACTCGAACTATAGTGTTTCCAGTCAATATTTGGAAAGTTAAAGTCCCCCATAACAACTACCCTGTTACTTTCGCTCCTATCCAGAATCATCTTTGCAATCCTTGTAATTAATAATTCATTTGAAAAGGGATCCTTTTACCAGAGAAACTGTAGAGAATCACTACAACAAAATTCCCTAATTTAGTCTGATTATTTAATTGTCCACAAATAAGGAAATAAATTGCAAACATTTTGAAAACAAAATCCTGATGATATGTCTTAACTATAATCCTTGTAGCCAAATTTGGTAATGAAAATGCTTTAAAAAATGGTGTCATTTTATTTATTAACTTTCAAGTAAAGAAACTACACTTTATAATGTCAAATATAGAACTCAATATTTAGCACCATCAAAATACTGAGTTGGAATTAAACACTATACTCTCTTTTTAACAGGGTTCTTGCAC